TCAAGCTAGAATCTATTTTACCAAGAGAAAAACCCATAAAGATAATTAATAACTTCAAGAAGATTTTAAAAAACAATATTTTTTTCACTCTGGTTTTGATACTCAGAATCTATATTCTGGATATAAAAATGCATTTCCAACTTTCATAGACATTATAGGGTGATATTTATCTGCCTGTAGCATACCAGCGATTAAAATGAGAGATTTTTTCATACCAAAACTTAAAAAGATACTTTTTGCAATCTCAGGCCCACTGGTACTATCACAAATAGATCACCACAGAGTCAGTTTAATGCTATGAAAATACACAAAAGTATCTTGTCAGTGGCAGTTGATTTGGTCATGATGTTTTGGGACTGAAAAAAAGTGCCAGGAAAGCAGAAACACTACCAACAGCCTGTAGAGGTGGGATACTCTCTGATGTGTGCTTAGAAGCAAATCTCTTAGTTATAAGAACTATAATAGATCTAAACTGTCTCTAAGTTGCTCCTGGGGATAAAAAATTCATGCAATAATGATTGTTAGTCTTTGAGTATAAATATGTCAAGGAAACTAAGTTACCTGCTTCAAATCCCATGCAAGTCTTCATTGCAAACCTAATGTACATGCAGGAAAATATTAATTTTAAACCTTCTATTGTTAAGAGTATTTAATCTTTTAAAGCCAAAGCTATTTTCGAAATACATTTTCTATGCTATATATCATCACAATAAAACTAATTATTTCTGACATAAACCTTTGTCATACTTCCTATGATAATACTACTTATAACTACATCTATATAAAACTATCCAAGTAGCAATTTTGCAGTACTGGGACCTTAAAAAGAATTTTTTTAATACAGAATTCTTAAGGTGTAAATCTGAATTTGCTTTAAGTGCAGTTGCACTGCCATTTTAAACAATAGTGAGAGGAAAAATTATATAATAATGTTTCCTGATGAATATGAATGAAGATTTATTTCTTCCATATCTCTCAAAAAAGGGGAAGCAAAAGTGGAGTTCCTCAAACTGAAATCAGTGCTTTTATAATGTCAGGGTTTTCTCGTAAGAATTTTCTTAGAAAAAGATTTTTAAAATGTGGGTTTTTTCTTTGGCTTTGCAATATTTAAACAGTTTCTCTTATTTTTAGAAGATAATTTTCTGTATTTTAAATATATTTTTGTGCACAGACTGGGATACTTGCTGACTTTTATTCATGATTCAAGAAATATTCCTCTTTTTCTTTAAAAACAATTGATTAGAAACAAATCAGCAAGCACAAACTCAACTTCAAAAATTATTATAATGTAAATGTAGAAGTTATTTAGTTCAGCATTTATACAATAGGCATTTTTTTACTTGTAGTTTAAATCAGCAGGAGATGTGGCTGCACAAAACCTAGCATCAGATGTCTAACTTCTTGAAAATGTTTTATCTTTATTAAATACAGACTGCAAGCACTAGTATGAAGCTAAAAGGCATTATTTATGATTCATAACAGCACAACTGAAACAGGACAAGAATCATAGGAAATGTGAAGTAAAGAATCACAGAATCACAGAATCAACTAGATTGGAAAAGGTCTTTAATGTGGTTGAGTACAACCTATGACCAAACACTGCCCGTGTCAATTAGACCATGGCACTGTGTGCCACATCTAGCTTTTTCTTAAAAACTCTCAGTGACAGTGGCTCTATCACCTCCCTGGGCAGCCCCTCCCAAAGCCCAGTCATCTTTTCTGTGAAGAAATTGGTCCTAATGTCCAATCTGAAATGGACCCAGCTGAATATACATCCCTTGCCAAGGGGTAAGTTGGTGCAGGTGCATTCCACCTGCAGAGGATTGCAGTGTACAGGGTGGGGGAAGCCCTGAGATCTGCCAGGAACTGGCAACACGAAGCTGATGATGCATGGGCTGGGTAAGGAATAATGGTGGCCAACCCCTCCACCCAATAGGAACAGCCCTGGAGCAGTGAGAATGACCAGAAGCAGCATGACCAGGGTGGGCAAAAAGGGTTTGGAGAACTTTTAATGAGCATTCAATGTATTCTGTCACATAAAGCTTTTATCTGTATGATAATATTACACTGAAATTGACTTGACACTAAGGAAAATACTTGTGAAAAATTTATATAAACTTTCAAATATTAAGAAATACTTTGATTTTTCAATTCCTTCAAGCCTTTCAAATTTTAGAAACAATGTTTGAGCTTCAGTAATCCAGAAAAAGCTTGCGTTTAAGTTAAGACCTTTTAAAACCAAAGTCCTTCCAAACTGCCAATCTTAAAATTTTCACTGTACAAGCTCATGGGGAGCCATCTTTTGTATTTGGAATAGTAGCTTAAAAAATATTAAAATCTGCTATCACAATTTTAGAAAATACTGATTTTATTTTTCTTCCTTAGTTTCTTTGATTCTTATTATTTGCTTTTTAAATGACATTTTATTTGCTATTGTATGAAATGTTGCCTGTCTGTGTAATAGGAAAAAGTTTGTATTAAATAATTTTATGTTACAATAAATCACAGAATACCATGATGCCAATTTTTAATGAGATAAAATACATTAAGTAACCAGAAGAACATTTAGTAGCCAATTAGAACAAGTGCTCAAATTTCTAGAAATCATTTGCCAGCTTGTAAACTCGTACTGTTTTCCCCTATATAGACTTTAGCAGTTATTATTTTAACATCACATCTCACAAAGAAATTAAGTTTGACTAAAAATACACATACAACAGGGTGAAAACCAACTACATATTCGACAGGTTCTTAAAAACAAATTGCCACTGTGGTTATTTATGTAAGATAATCAATAGGGAAATTTGAAAATAACATGGAAGCATATGGGAATGATTTAAAGAATCATTGGTCTTATTTTGTAGACAAATAAACTTGGGACAGTAGCTTTCTAGTGTCTTCTAAAACAAGTCAATAAAAAATAAACAGCAAAGCTATATTTATAACCCAGCAATTCTGCTGTCATTGTTCTATTTATTCCTTCCTGCTCTTCAGTAATTCATGTCTTTTTACCTTATACATTCAGGTGTGTGTTGGCAAAGGCTAAGAAACAGCAGGAATCACACAATTAGTACACTAGACATGTTGCCATTTCTCTTTCAGAACAGACACAGCTGAAGTGGACACTGTTCCCTTCAGTGTCCATCAAATCAATTGAGGCTAAGGTGTTAAAATCTATGTAAGTCCTAAATATACTAGTCTAATTTCCTGTTCCTTGTCACAATGATTGTTCATGTATAGTTTACAATATTATGTAAGTTTCCATCAATATCAACGACCAGGCTGAAATTTTTGAGGCTATCAGGACCAACAGAAATAAGTGCCTCCTACTATAAACTAGATTTTAAATTTCCTCCTAGTACTACATCAAGGCTTTTCGTCAAACAATCTTCTGCAAGAACTCCTGATTTATGTTAAAAAGAAAGCCCCAAGCTATCATGATTTTCAGATTTAAATATCATGACAGAAATCTCTGTCCATTTCACCTTTTTCTTTCCTTCACCTGTGTTACTAGAAGCACTTAATTTGCATTGTAGCTAAAAAAAAGAGGTAGAATATCTATCAGAGATGTCTCAAATTATTTGACTAAAATTGAAAATTCCACTGAAGGAAAGATAAATTTACTGAGATGGTTAGGTCTGATATATAAATTTTAGAGGCAAATCGTTATATCCTCTCTTTTCTGAAAGGAAAATGCTTCCATCTGGGTTTCTTTGTGATTAGTTATTGATGTATGTGGATCTAAAGACAGAGGAGGTCAATGTACAGCCTACTTAACACTAGTAAGTTGTTTTTTAGGGAGCTTTTATTTGCAAATGTGATTACTGCCAATGGCAAAAGCAATCAAAAGCCCTTGCAAGTTCAATATTCACAAACAAAGAAGGTGCAGGGAACAGCATTAATTTCTTGTTTTCCCCCATTTCCACAAACAGAAGTAAAGAAACACCATTTATTGGCCAAGAAAATAGAGTACATTGAATGGGTATAAAATAATTATCTAGGGGAACATTTATTAAAAATTAGAAGGGAAGGAATGAATGAGGGCAGGCAAAGAGGGAGAGAGAGTGGAGAAAAGTGATGAACTGAAGAAGAAAAGAGAGGAGAAAGAAGAGACAGAGAGAGAGAGGAAGGGAAGTGAAATAGATAAAGTTATAAAAAGTAATGATATAAGGTAGAATAGGATATAGGTAGTAGTAGTTAAAATATATCCCATGTATCTGAGAGCTGCAGTCAGATACTTTAAAGTCAATGCAGAAACAAGAAAACATTGTTGACTTATATCTTGATCTTCCTAATTAGCTGTCCAGAACACAAATAAGGTTGTCTGTAATTATTTTATTTTCAGTAATTAATTTTAGTTCTATAGTGGTTGCCTTCTGAGAAAAAGCTATTGATCTTTCTTCCTATTAGACACATAAATATTAATGGAAATTTAAGAACTCGACATTTTCAGACATTGCAACAGCTCCATCTAACTTAAACAATGTCTATCACCTCAGGAGAAATTCTCTGTCAGCCAGCATGACTACCCTTATGTTATGAAAGTTCAATCAAGTATTTATCCTATCCAGATCTAGCTAACAGCACATTTTAATTATCTAACCTGTTTTTGTTTAGCATACATGCCCATGCAATATTTCTGAAATTAGTTTCAAGATCTTCCTAATAACAAGTAAATGTAACAAGAAAAAAGTCACAGAATCACCTCCCTCCACCACCAGCGCCATCTGCATGCCTTATTCCAGTTAAATTTGAGACATAGTTTTCATATACTCTTTTCTTTTTTTTTTTTTTAATGGGAAGTGAGGCTGAGGACAATGGAGATGATAAAGTTGAAGGTGATGGAAGGTGAAGGACTTGGCTATGAATAACTCCAGAAGGAGTTCCAGCAACAGAAGAGAACATCCCCAGCTGCCAGAGGCATGAGGACAGTGCACCTAAAAGTGATTATTGCTGGTGTTTCCACTGGGTCAAATATGCTTCAGATGTATAGCTCATACCTTTACTTTTTCCACTCCATCAAATTCTCAGCATGGTTCTCAGGTTGGGTGATATAGTTCATATACAGCAAAGGCTGAGATCCTGGCTGATGTCACAAGGAAACAGAAAAGCTTAGCAACGGGGTCAAATGCAGCAGAGTATTTCACAGTATTTAATAGAACAGAGACATAGGACCTGTGGAAAAGTAAAAAATCAGAAAATGGATGGATATAAAATCCATTTGAAATATTGTTCAGTGTAGATCATAAATGATCTGTATACCTTGGTACAAAGTAAATTTATGTAGCAAAAAGTTCTACCAAGCTGTGCATAAATTTCGAATGGAAAAAGGTGTTAACAAGAAGAAAATTTTGGTGACATGAATTGAAAATGAGAGAAATGGTGTGGTATATATAGAAAGAAGAGATCAACTATGCACATTTCTCTCTTACCCATGAAAACCAAATGTAGAAATACAAAGAATAATGACTCCTTGGAAAATGTCACATATTCACAGCTACAAGAAGTAGCAAATTTTAAGAGAAGGTATCCTAGATTTTGCTTGTTTCAACACACATATTCATTCGGGTTTTTTTATGCTTTCAGAGTCTGGTACTTCAAACTATGTTTATAAGGCACTAGAGCCTCAGTATGTATTCTCTTTTCAAAGTCCGCACTTCCAGCACCTCTTTTGTCTTTAAAGATCTAAAAAATCACCTATTTTACAACTGAAACCTCAAATCTATTTTCTGTATAGCCTAATATTAAAATATTCAAAGTGGGCTAGCTTGAAGAAAAGTTACAATTTGAATTTTGGAATTTATTTGTAGTACTGTAGTGCCTTGAGTTAGAAATGTTGTGGGTTCACTGTGCTTTGGACACCGAAGGCATACATGAACAGGCATATTTAGCTGATCATCTGTTGGCTAAATAAGAGGTGACACCTCTCAAGATCTTCTCTTGACAGATAAGACACCAGTTTCAAAAGAGTGGGAGATTCCATACCTTGGAACCCTGGAGGTGGAATACTTAGGTCCCGATGGAGGGTAAAATTGAGACATCTCTATTTTAGAGAAGTGAATGGCAGCTTTATAGTACAAACACATGTAATGGAAACCTGTGGGTGGTGGGATGGCAGAAATCAGCATTACTGTGATTAATTCCTTTTTTGATGTAATATGTTATGAAAGCAATTCATGATATAGTTGCTTGGGTTTGGGGTTTTTTTTATTATTTTCTAAAAGAAAGAGATGAAAGCCTTAATTAATTGTAGCAGGATTTTCTGTACAACACCTGATATAGTGCAGACTGCAGTAAAAAAAAGCTTCCTTTTAGCATTTTACATATGATTAATATTCAATGGCAAGACTAGCAGAAATGGTTTCAGGAACTGCAAGCACCAACTTTTCTTTTGGCTGCTGTCATAGCAATTGCAATTTCCCACAGCCAACAGACAGGAACTCATGTGCTGGCCCCAGGGAGTCCCATGCCATCAGTGCCGCTGGTTCTGCTACATCAAGAGAGGCTGGGAGTTGCAGAGGCCATGGCTCAAGTCTCAGTTATGTCTTGGCAACTCTGACAGAGAGTCAAGTCAACCAGCTAACAGCAGTAGTATCTTAACCCACTACATGCAGACTTCCCATGTCATACCAGTAAATTATTTGCTAGGGTGACAAAATTCATTACTTTATAAGAGTAGCTGGTAATTATGGGACTGCTATATCAGTTTATTAAATTCTACCAGACTAATACTAGTAATTCAGATTAATAAAAAGAAAGACACCCAAAGAAATATGTTTCCCTGGTTTGCTATTAAATCAAAAGGGAAATCTAGGGGGTCCATTGGTTGAGAATGGTCTTAGGACCAAGCTTTTAATTTTCAGACTATAACATTACTATAACATTATAAGGAGTATGACTAGGCAAGGCAGCAATATAGATGCTTAGAAACAAAAAGTTTCAGCAGAATTAGAGACAGGATTATTAATTTATCTTGAGTGCAGCTATATTGCTAAAAAGCACCTTACTCAAACACAGTTTAATGAGTAATGTCAAATAGAGTATTTTAATAGTGATGTCTATGAAATCCTTTAAGCTATACATCTGTCTTGTTGATTGCACCCCAGTGCTGGACTGTTGTGTTAATGTTTAAATATAATGGTATAATACATGTTTTCATTATATTTTGTAGCTCCTGTGGAGCACTAGCACAGATTCAAGTCAAAAAGAATTTAGTTTCTTTATCACGCTCCTTAGCAGAGCATGTACATATACAAGCTCAGGAGAAGCAGACCCCTGGGAGTGTATCCAAACCATGCATAGCAAGCAAGCCCGAGCCTTTGAGAAATCCAAGATTAATAGCAGAGTATAATTTCCAAGATGCAATAAATCTAGAATGAAAATTACTTACAAATAGGTAGTGTTAGATTCTACAGACAGATTACACATTTCTACAGTAGTTCTAGCTGTGATTTGATGATTGAGAGAAGGAAAATTTTGCTGTAGATAAAAGAGCAAAGTGTACTGTGTTCTACTGCTTGGTGTGTGCGTACATGGCTTACACAGACTGTCCTTTCTGTCTTCTAAAACAAAAATCAAGTGTGTAAAGAACCACAGAAGATAAGAAAGACTGGGCTGGAAGACTAATTTGGGGTGGATTCACTATCTCTGAGAAAGCATTTATTTATTCTCTGAATTCCTGTATTTGCAGTTACATTACCAGAAAAGGTCTATCTGAGGATCTTGAATTCTTGTTTTCATGGACCATGATTATAGCCATATAGTTTTTAAGTGGAATTGAGCCTACTGAAATGCTGGTGGGAAAACAGGTAAACAGTCCACAAGCATTTTCAGGGCCCAGATGCTGGGCATGGTAAAAAAAAAAAAAGCTCCAGCAGGATGCTCCTTGACTTTCCATTGGAATTCTGTGGGGCTTTTACAATTTCACAGATAATGTGGATACAGCTGAGTATTGTCTTGGAGATCACCAAAGGCAGAGAACTGAGCTTCCACTCTTCCTTAAGCGGGAAACACTTGGCCAAAGAGCTATCTTAAAATGTCTACACCTGTAGAAATAAACCAGAATTATCTTTTTGACTTTGAGTGAAAAGTGCTGCATCACACCTAAAAGAATGAGACCTAGAGAAATAAACAGAAAGCTTAATTAATCTCTTAATCTAGCAACAGGCCAGGATGAAAGTCTGATACTGCTTTAGGAATAAATGGGAAGTGACTGTTGAAGCAGTGTGTTGAGTGAAAAACCTAAGGACCTAACTGTCCCCTAATTGTCCAAGTGAGGGTACTGACTAGAAGAAATTCCCCCTTCAAAAACCAGAAAGAAACAAGGACACAAGGTATCCAGGGAAAGTTTGTTGAATGCCAAAAACTGCTCTCACAGGATAGTTGCCCAAGGAAAAGAATACATATCTGTTCCATTGTATCTATTCCTGTAGCTGTCATCATCATCCGAAGCAGCAACAGAGGGAAAGGCCAGGCATAAAGTAATCAGTATAACCGGTGGATGCTGATCTGCACCCACACATCTATGCCAGGCATTATCAAATTTCTTGGCTCCACATAGGTTCCACTGGTAGACAAGAGAGTGCTGGATGGGACCAGCTAATCTGTATCTATTAAGCTATGACAGCATTCAGCTTTTTCATACAGGAGGCAGATTAGAGATCCTGGCAGGGTTTTGAAATATCCTATTAATATAGGATATTAATATCCTATTAATAAGCAATTGCATTCAGCTTCTTTTTGAGTCCAGAAAGAAGATACATCATCCACGGAAAACCTGTCCTTAAAGTCCTTTAGGATGACCCAAAAAACTCAAGCTAAAAGAACTGGGCTGATTGCTGATCACATGGCCAAAAGCCCTTTAACTTGGCTGCAGGATCCTGATACCTGTACCTAAGAGAACCAAAGAGAGAAAGAGGGTGACCAGATTAATTCACCACAGGACCTTTAAGAAAAAGCAGATGGTCTCTTGGCCTCGGAATGGTGATGCTGATGTGTGACTACACATCATTATAAGAAGCTAGAAAACAAGATGACCTCTAGGGTTGTCACAGATTTAGCTACACGATCCAGCAAAAAGACAAAATCAGATATTCTTGCATAATGTCATAACCCATCCTTAGCTAGTAGATTTATTTACTCCAGCTTCTGTGAGCCCTGCTGATGTTGCCCAATAATGATAGTGGCATATATTTTGCTGGTTAAAGCAACTCAGGCAGGAGGAAAAGAAATCTTTAAAACCTGACAACATGCTGACCCTTTTCTTTAATTCTCAGTGCTTTCCCTTTCCCCTGTCTTCCTCGTAAGAGCTCTTCTAGGACATCACATGAATGGAACTGAACTTTGTAATGACATATTTCATTTTATTAACTTTTTTGTAAACTTTTAAAAATTTGTGGATATGCATATCCCCTATTACACAGAGGAATCAGAAAAATACACAGATTTCTAACAAAGCATCTGTTAAATGTGCTGTCTTAACAATTTTTTTCTGGATATAGCAAGCATATAGATTAATAGTTTTAGATTCTAATATCCAATTATTGCAATAATTGTGGATACAAAGTAAAACACTTGGCTTTACTAGTAACTTACATTATATTTAATAATTACAAACCCACTACTACGTATCATAATTGTAGACTATGAATTAGTGTGGGTTAATCTGGAATTTATGCTTATATATATGTTTTATATAAAGCCACAAGATGTTTCCCTTAAAACAGACTTTTGCAATGAACAGAATTTCCCATATAATCAGTTGCTGAAACAATCCTTAAGTTTCTGATGTAAGAAAAATTCAAAAGGTTACCTTGCTCTCAATGCCTTTGGGCTGGATGCAAGAAGAAACCACATCAACATACTGTATGAATGTTGATTTTTTAAAGTAAAATAAATGAAGATGGAAATCAATTGAACAGTGGCTACAAATGAAAAATACAATAAGGTAAATTGACAAACCAGTTAAAATATAAAGTGCTAATTGAAACATTGGCTGCTATAGAACTTGCACTTTAATTCACTTTGAATATGCACCAGTGAGGAAATCCATTGCTTTTCTCAGAAATCCATACATTTCACAAACGTTTTGTAGCTAAATAGAGTAGGTTGAAAAGTAAAATTGTTATTTTTGTAATAAAGCTGGTTTTATTTTGTGTTAGATACTTCCTGATGGA